TGAGAACATGTGTGTTCTTGTGTCAGAACATGTGTATTATTGTGTGAGAACATGTGTGTTATTGTGTGAGAACATATGTATTATTGTGTAAGAACATATGTATTATTGTGTCAGAACATGTGTATTATTGTGTGAGAACATGTGTTTTATTGTGTGAGAACCTGTGTGTTATTGTGTGAGAACATGTGTTTTATTGTGTAAGAACATGTGTGTTCTTGTGTGAGAACATGTGTATTATTGTGTGAGAACATGTGTATTATTGTGTGAGAACATGTGTATTATTGTGTGAGAACATGTGTGTTATTGTGTGAGAACATGTGTGTTATTGTGTGAGAACATATGTATTATTGTGTAAGAACATGTGTGTTCTTGTGTCAGAACATGTGTATTATTGTGTGAGAACTTGTGTGTTATTGTGTGAGAACATGTGTGTTATTGTGTGAGAACATGTGTGTTATTGTGTGAGAACATGTGTGTTCTTGTGTCAGAACATGTATATTATTGTTTGAAAACATGTGTGTTATTGTGTGAGAACATATGTATTATTGTGTAAGAACATGTGTGTTCTTGTGTCAGAACATGTGTATTATTGTGTGAGAACATGTGTTTTATTGTGTGAGAACATGTGTTTTATTGTGTGAGAACATGTGTTTTATTGTGTGAGAATATGTGTTTTATTGTGTGAGAATATGTGTGTTATTGTGTGAGAACCTGTGTATTATTGTGTGAGAACATGTGTTTTATTGTGTAAGAACATATGTATTATTGTGTGAGAGTATGTGTTTTATTTTTTGAGAACATGTGTTTTATTGTGTAAGAACATATGTATTATTGTGTGTGAACATGTGTGTTATTGTTTGAGAACGTGTGTTTTATTGTGTGAGAACATGTGTTTTATTGTTTGAGAACATGCGTTTTATTGTGTGAGAACATGTGTTTTATTGTTTGAGAACATGTGTTTTATTGACTGAGAACATGTGTTTTATTGTGTGAGAACATGTGTTTTATTGTTTGAGAACATGTGTTTTATTGTTTGAGAACATGTGTTTTATTGTGTGAGAACATGTGTTTTATTGTGTGAGAACATGTGTTTTATTGTGTGAGAACATGTGTTTTATTGTTTGAGAACATGTGTTTTATTGTTTGAGAACATGTGTTTTATTGTTTGAGAACATGTGTTTTGTTGTTGTTGAAAGATCACTTTACTTTGAATGGTGTTGGGGTTAGGCCATTTCAGGTGAGTACAGGTGATGTCAGAAGCGGTAATTTAGGACAAGTACAGAAATTTAAGTATCTCAACACATGGATAATATCCAGCAAATGATGTACTACATCCTTACCCACGCAGGCCTGTAGGTAGCAGCAGGCTGGTGTTGCGGTTTTGGGTGGCCTGATTATAAATTGTAACGAGATAAAACCGTGTCTCTTGTTGGTCTGCCATCCAGATTGTAATTTTGCAGTCCGAGGATGGTATGGTAAACCTTTAGCTAGAATTGTGGAGGGGACAAACTAACCAATTATAAGTTGGAATTCTTGCATGTTGTATAGAATTAGATTTAACATGCGGCTTTAAATCCTGGATAGTTAAACAAGCCAAACAATATCTTGAGGCCTCAGAGATGTGGTTTTACAGAAGAATCCTTAGAATTCCTTCGACAGCTAAAAAGAGCAACCCTGATGTTTTGAATGAGGCCAGTGCTCGCAGACAACGTATCACAGACATCAGGAAAGAGACCATGGTAATTTCTTGGTCATGTTATGAGGAAAGGCAAACTAGAACTTGTTGTGACAACTGGAAACATCTTTGGGAAAAAAGAGCAACAGAAGAAGACAACTGAGAAAATTCTGGACAGTCTTGTGTGGTTTTGCTGGGAGGGGATCAACACACAAACTGATACAAGTTGACTTGTTGTGGTGAGACATGGTCTCCCATGCCAGTTGGCAAGTCACTTGATGGTGATGGCAGCTGATACCATGTGGTGTGAAGCCATCAGTAATATGTTGTATTGTGGTGTTGTGTGGTGTGAAGCCATCAGTAATATGTTGTATTGTGGTGTTGTGTGGTGTAGTGTGCTGTTGCATGGTGTAGTATTTTGTAGTGTAGTGTAATGTTTTGTGCCAATGCCAGTTTGTTGTAGTATAGTGTTGTTGCATTGTATTATGTTGTGTTGTAGTGTAGTGTGTTGTAGTTGTGCATTGTGTAGTGTGGTCTTGTGGTGTAGTGTGATGTGCTGTTATGTAATATAGAATTGTGGTTTAGTGTGATGTGCTGTTATGTAATGTGGTATTGTGGTGTAGTGTGATATGCTGTTCTGTAATGTGGTATTGTGGTGTAGTGTGATATGCTGTTATGTAATGTGGTATTGTGGTGTAGTGTGATGTGCTGTTATGTAATGTGGTATTGCGGTGTAGTGTGATGTGCTGTTATGTAATGTGGTATTGTGGTGTAGTGTGATATGCTGTTATGTAATGTGGTATTGTGGTGTATTGTGATGTGCTGTTATGTAATGTGGTATTGTGGTGTAGTGTGATGTGCTGTTATGTAATGTGATGTAGTGTGATGTTGGATGGTGTAGTGTGGTGGTGTTGTATTATGTAGTGTGTTGTAGTATGGTGTTTTATTGTGTAATGTGATGTGTGGTGTTGCAAGGTGTAATGTGATGTCGTGTGGTGTTGCAAAGTGTAATGTGGTATTGTGTGGTGTTGCAAGGTGTAATGTGGTATTGTGTGGTGTCATCTCCTTCTCTATCAGATGGTGACATGTGATATTTGATGACGTGTGGTTACAGCCAGCCATTGAAGCATCATACTGCTGCAGTAGCTGTGTTTTCTCAGAGACCGGCCACTGAGTTGTTGTTGAGTAGATTGTTGTAACATTGCCATATATCTGTGCCATGTCTTGCAAACATAATCTGTGTTAAATCTTACCATATTTCTGCAATTGTCCTACAAACAAAATCTATATTAAACATGGCCATATATATGTACTGTGTCATACGAGCACAATACTTAAATAATCTTTATAATGGCTGAGTTTAAAGAGGAGGGTATGATCTGGATGATGTGTCAGTGGTGAGAGGGTTTGATGAAAGATTTGATGAGTCATTTGTTTGAAAATGTGTGGCTGACTGTTGCTGTGTGTGACTAATTAGAAGTTTGTGTGGTTGGTTGTCTGTTGTTGAATTTGTGGCCAAGTGTTGGTGAATATATGTGTACAGGTAAACGTAAACGAGGTCTTTTTTGTGGAATGCTTGTAGTTGAAAATCCTGAATAAATGTGTACGCGCGCTCCCGCGCATGCATTAATTATATCCAGAATTTTATAAAAACTCATTTCGGTTTGCATTTCTAGTCCATTGAATGGACAGAGGTAGGGATAAAGTGGGTGGTGGGGGGTGCAGACAGAACAGACTGGGGAATTCAACGATCAGAAGCGATGAGCTCATGTTTGTAAACTGACACAGCGAGCATTGTCTGGGGCCACATGTAGAACAGTTGTTGACTTGACAGCAATACAAATTCCCCGAGTTGAATGTCTCCAGGGAAAGTGTCTGTGGTCCATGTCTGGCATGTATAAGAAGGCAATTGTTGTAGGGCCTGCCCCCAACTGCCCAGACCCCGGGATAAGGCTGGGCGGGCCATGACGTATTCTGGACAGGATGTTTCACTGGGTGCACCGGGAATGGTGAAGGAAGGGAGAGAGAGCGCGCGTGCGGGTTGAATGACTCACGTTCCTGCTTGGAAAAACACATCAGCCTAAACAGGAAGTGTAACTATTGAGCTCCATGTGACCACATTGTCTTCCTAATCATACGAAACAAACCTTTATTTACACACGACACAAACATTTACATACATACGACACAAACCTTTATTTACACACGACACAAACCTTTATATACATACGACCTAAACCTTTATTTACACACGACACAAACCTTTATATATATATATATATATATATATAACACAAACCTTTATATACATATGACACAAACCTTCATTTGCATACGTCACAAACCTTTATGTGCATACGACAAACAAAAAAGAAAGGTAAAGGCGGCATTCTGACAAACAAACATAACAGACAACTGTAAAGGCGGCATTCTGACAAACAAACATAATAGACTTATGTAAGGGCGACATTCTGACAAACAAACATAATAGACACCTGTAAGGGCGGCATTCCGACAAACATAATAGACACCTGTAAGGGCGGCATTCCGACAAACACACATAATAGACACCTGTAAGGGCGACATTCTGACAAACACACATAATAGACACCTGTAAGGGTGGCATTCTGACAAACACACATAATAGACACCTGTAAGGGTGGCATTCCGACAAACATAATAGACACCTGTAAGGACGACATTCTGACGAACACACATAATAGACACCTGTAAGGGCGGCATTCTGACAAACATAATAGACACCTGTAAGGGCGACATTCTGACAAACACACATAATAGACACCTGTAAGGGCGGCATTCCGACAAACACACATAATAGACTCCTATAAGGGCGGCATTCCGACAAATAAACATAATAGACACCTGTAAGGGCGACATTCTGACAAACACACATAATAGACACCTGTAAGTGCGGCATTCCAAAAAACACACATAATAGACACCTGTAAGTGCGGCATTCCAACAAACACACATAATAGACACCTGTAAGTGCGGCATTCCAACAAACACACATAATAGACTTATGTAAGGGCGACATTCCGACAAACACACATAATAGACACCTGTCAGGGCGACATTCTAACAAACACACATAATAGACACCTGTAAGGGCGGCATTTTGACAAACATAATAGACACCTGTAAGGGTGGCATTCCGACAAACAAAATAGACATCTGTAAGGTCGACATAATGACAAACAAACATAATAGACACCTGTAAGGGCGACATTCTGACAAACAAACATAACAGACATCTGTAAGTGCGATATTCTGACAAACATAATAGACACCTGTAAGGTCGACATAATGACAAACAAACATAATAGACACCTGTAAGGGCGGCATTCTGACAAACATAATAGACACCTGTAAGGGCGACATTCTGACAAACAAACATAATAGACACCTGTAAGGGCGGCATTCCAACAAACACACATAATAGACACCTGTAAGGGCGACATTCCAACAAACACACATAATAGACAGCTGTAAGTGCGGCATTCCAACAAACAAACATAATAGACACCTGTAAGGTCGACATAATGACAAACATAATAGACACCTGTAAGAGCGGCTTTCTGACAAACATAATAGACACCTGTAAGGGCGGCATTCTGACAAACATAATTGACACCTGTAAGGGCGACATTCTGTCAAACACACATAATAGACACCTGTAAGTGCGGCATTCCAACAAACACACATAGTAGACACCTGTAAGTGCGGCATTCCAACAAACACACATAATAGACAACTGTAAGTGCGGCATTCCAACAAACACACATAATAGACACCTGTAAGTGCGGCATTCTGTCAAACACACATAATAGACACCTGTAAGGGCGACATTCCAACAAACAAACATAATTGACACCTGTAAGGGCGACATTCTGACAAACACACATAATAGACACCTGTAAGTGCGGCATCCCAACAAACACACATAATAGACAACTGTAAGTGCGGCATTCCAACAAACACACATAATAGACACCTGTAAGTGCGGCATTCTGTCAAACACACATAATAGACACCTGTAAGTGCGGCATCCCAACAAACACACATAATAGACAACTGTAAGTGCGGCATTCCAACAAACACACATAATAGACACCTGTAAGTGCGGCATTCCAACAAACACACATAATAGACACCTGTAAGTGCGGCATTCCAACAAACGCACATAATAGACACCTGTAAGTGCGGCATTCCAACAAACACACATAATAGACACCTGTAAGTGCGGCATTCCAACAAACACACATAATAGACACCTGTAAGTGCGGCATTCCAACAAACACACATAATAGACACCTGTAAGGGCGACATTCTTACAAACACACATAATAGACACCTGTAAGGGCGACATTACAACAAACACACATAATAGACACCTGTAAGGGCGACATTCTTACAAACACACATAATAGACACCTGTAAGTGCGGCATTCCAACAAACACACATAATAGACAACTGTAAGTGCGACATTCCAACAAACACACATAATAGACACCTGTAAGTGCGGCATTCCAACAAACAAACATAATAGACACCTGTAAGGGCGGCATTCTGACAAACATAATAGACACCTGTAAGGGCGACATTCCAACAAACACACATAATAGACACCTGTAAGGGCGACATTCTGACAAACAAACATAATAGACACCTGTAAGGGTGGCATTCTGACAAACATAATAGACACCTGTAAGGGCGACATTCTGACAAACAAACATAATAGACACCTGTAAGGGTGGCATTCTGACAAACATAATAGACACCTGTAAGGGTGGCATTCCGACAAACAAAATAGACACCTGTAAGGTCGACATAATGACAAACAAACATAATAGACACCTGTAAGGGTGGCATTCTGACAAACAAACATAATAGACACCTGTAAGGGTGGCATTCTGACAAACATAATAGACACCTGTAAGGGTGGCATTCTGACAAACAAACATAATAGACACCTGTAAGGGTGGCATTCCGACAAACACACATAATAGACACCTGTAAGGGCGACATTCCAACAAACACACATAATAGACAGCTGTAAGTGCGGCATTCCAACAAACAAACATAATAGACACCTGTAAGGTCGACATAATGACAAACATAATAGACACCTGTAAGAGCGGCTTTCTGACAAACATAATAGACACCTGTAAGGGCGGCATTCCAACAAACACACATAATAGACACCTGTAAGTGCAGCATTCCAACAAACAAACATAATTGACACCTGTAAGGGCGACATTCTGTCAAACACACATAATAGACACCTGTAAGTGCGGCATTCCAACAAACACACATAGTAGACACCTGTAAGTGCGGCATTCCAACAAACAAACATAATTGACACCTGTAAGGGCGACATTCTGACAAACACACATAATAGACACCTGTAAGTGCGGCATCCCAACAAACACACATAATAGACAACTGTAAGTGCGGCATTTCAACAAACACACATAATAGACACATGTAAGTGCGGCATTCTGTCAAACACACATAATAGACAACTGTAAGTGCGGCATTCTGTCAAACACACATAATAGACACCTGTAAGTGCGGCATTCCAACAAACACACATAATAGACACCTGTAAGGGCGACATTCTGACAAACAAACATAATAGACACCTGTAAGGGTGGCATTCTGACAAACATAATAGACACCTGTAAGGGCGACATTCTGACAAACAAACATAATAGACACCTGTAAGGGTGGCATTCTGACAAACATAATAGACACCTGTAAGGGTGGCATTCCGACAAACAAAATAGACACCTGTAAGGTCGACATAATGACAAACAAACATAATAGACACCTGTAAGGGTGGCATTCTGACAAACAAACATAATAGACACCTGTAAGGGTGGCATTCTGACAAACATAATAGACACCTGTAAGGGTGGCATTCTGACAAACAAACATAATAGACACCTGTAAGGGTGGCATTCTGACAAACATAACAGACACCTGTAAGGGTGGCATTCCGACAAACAAATACAATAGCCGCACATAAATGCGACATTTCGACAAAAATAATAATAGACACATGCAAAGGCAACATTGTGACGCACATAATAGACACAAAAAAAGGTGACATTTCTACAAACATGGCGGGCACACACAGAGAAGACATTCCTACTAACGTGCGGAAACACAGAGAAGACATTCCTACTAACGTGTG